TGGAGAATATCATGCTGAGTGAAATAAGCTAGTCCCAAAAAAACCAAAGGCGAAATGTTTTCTTTGATATGTGGATGCTGATTCATAATGGTGAGGGGGYGGGCAAGGGAAGGGAAGAATGAACTCTGGATTGGGTGGAGGGAAATCAGTAGAGTGGAGGGGGCATAGTGGTGGGAAAGATGGTGGAATAAGAGAACATCCTTATCCTAAGTACGTATATGATTGCACAAATGGTGCGACTCTATATCAGGTACAACCAGAGAAATGAAAAGTTGTGCTCCAGTTGTGTACAATGAATTGAAACGTATTCTGCTGTCATGTACAACTAATTAGAACAAATACAATTTAAAAAAAGATGCTGGCAAGGTAGAATTCACTCTGAGGCCTCTTTTGGAAGTTTGTAGCTACTCTCAGGAGCTGTTTTTTTGTACACATACATGTAGGGGAAGAGAGAGAGAGTGCAAACCGCACACGCCCACAAACTCGCTGGTGTTGCTTCTCAAGATTTTGAAAATAATATTTTCAACAATAAAATTAGTAACCAATTGAATTTTGATTTAAGTTTGTTACATGAAAACTGACAAAGTGATTTATCAGAGGAGATTCATTTTTTTAGACATAACAGTAATGTTAACATTAATGCAGGCTTTTTATATATTTTTAAATCTATCAACTCTTAACTTTTAGATCTGGTCAGTTCATTGTCCTGTTTAATTCCCCTGTCTTCTTACTCTTACTTATTTTCTGTCTCACTTTTCTATCCATATTGAGAGTAAGTTATTGAAATCTCCATTTACTATTGTAAAACTGTTTCTCACTCCAGTTTTGTCAATTTTTTCTTCCTAGGTATATAAATGTTTATATTTGTTTGATCTTCTTGCTATACTGAACCTTTGATTAAATATAACATCCTTCATTGTCTCTTATAATGATTTTTTATTTGAAGTTTGTTTTGCCTGTGATTAGCATAGCCCCCCTACCTTTGTTGTATTTCGGTTACTTTTTGCAAGAAATACCTTGTTTCATCATCTCATTTGCAAATAATTTGTGCCTAGACAGCATATACTGGGATCACTTTTAATCCATTCTGCTAATCTACCTTTTGAATGGTGAGTTCATTCCATTTATATTCAAAATAATTACAGATAAGCACTTTGGTCATGTTACTAATTGTTTTCTATGTGCTTTACAGCTTTTTTGTTTCTCATTTCCTGCATTACTGTTTCTTTTGTGTCTAGTTGATTTTTTTTTTTTGTAGCAAAACATTTAAATTCCTTTTTCATCTCTTACTGTATCTATTCTTCAGCCATTTCTTTTGTGGGTATCAYATTTAACACACTAAAGTTAGAACTTCTAATTTGAATTTATATCAGCTTAACTTCAATAACATAAAAAGGTCTCCTTGAAAAGCTCTTCTACCCTTTTTGGTTGTGTCACAAAATGATACATTTATACACTGTTTGTCAAAAAACATGAAATAATAATMTTTTAATGCATTAGTCTTTTAAATTCTGTAGAGGAAAAAAAGTGTAGTTTTACACAATTGCAACAATACTACTATCGTGTTTACCATGTATTTACCTTTAATTATATCTGTTTTTCTTTATACAGTTTCTAGTTATTATCATGTATCCTTTCATTTCAACCTGCAGGCCTCTCAGTAGCTCCCATTAGCATTTCTTGTAGGACAGGTATAGTGGTAATGAAGTCTCTCAGCTTTTGTTTATCTATTTATGAATGCCTTAATTTCTCTCTCACTTTTGAAGGATTTTTTTTTGCCAGAAATAGGATTCTTTTTTGGATGTTTATTTTGTTTGAGCAACTTTGAWTACTGGATCACTGCTTTCTGACCTCTAAGGTTTCTGATGAGAAATCTGCTGATAACCTTATGGAGCATCTCCTGTATGGAATGAATTATTTTTCTCTTTGTTTTCAAAATTCTTTTTCTCTTCACCTTTCAACAGTTTAATTATAATGTGTCTTGATCTGAGTCTCTTTGACTTTACCATACTTGGAGTTGTTTAAGTTACTTGAATGTTTATGTTTTTAATCAAATGTGGTACATTTCAACCATTGTTTCTTTAAGTAATCTCTGTCTCTTAATTTTCTCTCTTCTCCTTTGATGGTTATTGAGACAGGCATATGTTGGTTCCCTTGATAAAATCTTCTTGGTCCCTTAGTCTCTGTTCTCTTTTCTTCAGTTGTTCTTTTTATTATATTTTCTTAAATTTACTCATTCTTTTGCCTATTCAAATATGCATTTGAATCCTATCAGTGAATTTTTTTCATTTCACTTATTGTATTTTTTTTGCTCCAGAATTTCTTTTTGATTTTTTAAGTCTTCTATTTCTTTATTGGTATTCTACWCTCTCTCTCTCTCTCTCTCTCTCTCTCTCTCTCTCTCTCTCTGTGTGTGTGTATATGTGTGTAGTGTGTGTGTGTATATATATACACACACACACTACACACATACATTTACCATGATTTTCTCTAGTTCTTTTTTTCTTTTTCTTTTTTCTTTTCTTTTTACATTTTCTAACATTTTTAAGATTAYTGTTTTAAAGACTTTGTGTGGTAGATCCGCCATTATTTCTTTTTCAGAGACAGTTTCTGTTGGTTTATTTTTTTTTCTTTTGAATGAACTCTATTTCCCTCAAATATCTTGTGTGTTTTTTGCTGTTATTTGTAAGCTGTTCTTTGAATCTGATAAGTTGTAACTCTGGAAATCAGATTCTCACTATTCCATACTAATGTTTGTTTTTTTGTTGTTATTTAAAAAAATTATTATAGACAATCTCTGTGTAGCTTGAGATGTAAACTCCAGAATTCCAAAACAGTTATATTAAGTTCTGTTCATTCACTTTTTGTCTAGGTGGTGAAACAGATTTCTGGTGTCTCTTACTCCCAGAATCCTCGAGGTTCTGTTTTTTAAAGTGCCTTCATATTTAATCTATAATGATGTTGATCCTGTAAGTCAAGTTCTTGTCATCACTCACTTTATGGGTAATAAAACTTGGTGGCTTGCCCACTACAACTAATGCGTGACAGAGCCAACACTCATTTCCATATGTCTTTTAACTCGGTAGAACCCCTGCCTTGATGTAGTAAAGACCAAGGGTTAATATGGAAGTCAGGGAAGCAGAGCCTCAGATTCCAGAGTAGTGCACCAGCATCTGTTGTGCAGAGAGGTGAAGTGTGAGGTGGACTAAAACCAAATACTGAGCCAAGAGCTGAAACTGAGAGTTGGAACTGAAAGCAGAAAAAGCAGAATACAAAGGAGAATTTGGGACCAAGAGCAGCTTGGAATTCTCTAAGGAGACAAGACCAGAAGAAATTTGTGAGGTTTGTTTTCAGTCCAGACCAACAAGTATGTCCATTTTGAAAGCTGAGATTTTTCTCTACTGGTCTTAAAAGTACATAGCATTCTGGGCCTGAATTTTAGCAGGAATAGGAAGGTCACTTATTTGTGTTTTGCATGAATTACATAGCCATATATCAAAGTATTTCAATGGTGACACAATTTTATGTATTTCTAGGTTTGCCTTTCAGAACACATTTTTGAAATTTGGACATTGATGAAAATGATCTGTATCTGTCACATTTCAAGAGCTCGGTAGCCACATGGCTTTGTGGTTAGTGGTTACCATATTGGATAGGTCAGCAAAGATGGATTCTCTTTGTCTAAAAAAAAGAAAGGAGGGAAGCTTTTTCAAGAAATACATGCACATGTAAAATTACTGAAAATATTCAAAAAAGTGAAAAGTAAAAGTGTTTTCCCTTGACTTCTCTTAGCTTCTTTTTTTTTTCTCTAATGATATCTACTATTAAAACTTTCTTTTGTATATCAGGTGCATATATGACTGTGTAACAATGAATTCCACTATCAGGTATAGTTAATGCACTAATAAAAGAAACTTTTTTTGCATCTCTTTAGGAAAAGTATATTCATAACAATTTTTTTAGGTATATGCTTTATCTATGTGTGTGTATGTACACACACACACACACACACACACACACACACACGGGATTGAATCCATGGGTGCTTTACCACAGAATGACATCCCAGCACTTATTTTTCATTTTGAGACAKGGTTTCATTTAGTTGCCAAGACCGGCCTCAAACTTGGGATCCTTCTGCCTCAGCCTCCCAAGTTGCTGGGATTACAGGAGTGTACCACCTTACTCAGAATGTATATGTTTTCCATGAGTTAAAAAAGTTTATTATGTTGGGAATAGTGTTTTATATCTTGTTTTAAAAAAATTTAAACTGTATCTGGAAGCTTTTGGTGCAGTACTACACATATTGTATCTTCCTCTTATTAAAGGGTGCCCAGTGTTCCATTGTTTGGAAATGGAACTTATCAGTTCTCTATTCATAGGCTTTTATAATATTTCTAGTTTTTACCCAAACAATGCTGTAATATATTCCTAACTGTACACTTGTTAGATCAAAGGATAAGAGCACAGCTTCTCAAAGAAGTCTCTACAATGGTCTTGTAAAGTGTGATGTTTCTAAGCAAGGAGGGTATATAGAGTTTGGGACTAGGGTAGGGCACAAATAATGAAAACTGGAAAGAAAAGGAACCAGAGTTAATAAAAGATAAAGAAACTCTGGCTCTGTGATGGGAATAATAAATATTTGTATCAATAATTTTAAAAGTGGCCCTTAAAATTTAATTAGTACATTCCTTCCTGGGAATGACTAAGAATAATACTTTAAATGTCAATATGCTAAATTGTAATTTTTTAAGTAAAAAAAATTGTAACTGCTATTGTCTTTAGTTTTATTGTAAAGATAGTGTACATTCATTGCAAGTAATTTGAAAAATTCAAAAAAGTATAAATTAGAAAACATTTCATCTATAATATCACCACTTAGAGAACCACTATTAGTATATGATATTTTTGCCTGTGTGTGTTTTCACAAAGCTGAGATCATATGTGTTTATATCCAAACATCTTGATAATGTTGATTTTATTTTCTTTCATTGTTTTAGGTAACAGAAATCTAACATCATTTTGGAATGAATTTGGATACCAACATAGCAAGGACATGGAGACGTCTTTAGATTCTCTTCAATATCAAAGAAGACAAGCCATGGCCATCCCATTCATGGTACAGTGTGGTATGTATTTAATTCCATTCTAGTCAGCAAATACTAATGAATATCTAAATACGCAAGTCATGGTGTTAAGAAATGGTGGATTAGGGAGACGAAGATGGGTAAGCCATGGTCTTTGCTCTCAGGGAGGTTACAGTCTAGAAGAGAGGTTAAAATAATTATAGTAGGGGAAAAGTAAGTTGGACAGTTGGGTCTTAAACCTCAACTAGATCAAGCTAGACAATACCAGTGCCTTGCTGGCCTCAGCTCCAAGACTTCTCCCTGGCTGGGTACTTCCTCCTTCACCATAGACAGGAATTAGAATCAGGTATACATTTCATCTTGAATATTTATGGTGGAGTCATAGAAACAGCCATTTTTCTATTTTTAATATGTAGTACTCAGTCTAATTCACAACAAGGACTTTGTAATTGTCAGCTAGATGCATAAATAATGACTAAATAATCAAAGACAAAAATATTATGTTGGATAGTATGTTATAGGGCCTTGAATTCTAGGATAAGTTTTAATTTTGATAAGTAATAAGGAAGTATTGGGCATTTTTCAATGGAATAATTGAATTTTCAATGGAAGAATTTTTCACTGAGCACTTGGTCTGCTTTCTAGCTATGAACAAAGTATTATGGAATTGAGGACAGTATATGTTCTTTGGCAAACAGTCCGATAGARAAAATAGACAAGCAAACACGAAAGACCCTGATAGCATGTAAAACTTCACAGAAGTCTTGACACAGTGCCAGGGGCACCTCGCCAAAATCCTTTGCCTGGGTGGACCCATCTAGCAAGGTGGAACTTGTATGTAAGTCACCTCAGTGAAGGGTGATTTGTGGAGGGTCAGACAAAGGGAAGAGTCACATCTCTGAGGATCTTTTGTAATCTAAGATCCATATGAGAAATTGTAAATGTCTGAACTAGTGTGTGGCAATAAGACTTTAGAGGAACACATGAAACAGATATTTCGAAGGTCTGACTGAGGAAATCAATGAAAGTATCTGACAACCTATCAGATGATAATAATGGCTAACAATTACTTTATATARTTTTGATGTGCCAGGTACTGTTAGAATTTTACTATAGTACCTGAGGGCTGGATGCAACAGGGAAAAATATTTGTCCTCTCAAAGGCTCAGTTTCTTCATTTATAGAATGAGACTAGTACTTGTAGTTCCATTTTGGAGGTGTTGTGAGAATAATATGCATTAATAAGTGTGAAGTTTCCTAACCCTTAGGAAGGTCTTTAGCAATGTCAATTTTTATCATCAACATCATTATGCCATTTAACCTTTAATAACCTTTTTAGATAGGTGCTAATGTTAATCCTTGTCACAGACCACCATACTGAACATAGAGAAGTTAAGCCATTTGTCCAAGATCATAGAAGTAGTAAGAGCTGGAGCTATTCAGGTTTTAAACCACCATGCAAACTGTCCCTGCTGTAGATGAACAAAGACAGGTTATTAACCCAATAGYGAGTAGCACTGTGTCAAGAGGGAATCCAGATTAGATTTAAGTGTAACCTAGAGAGAGTGATGTACCCTGGCCTACAGGCCAACAGGGTCTGTTAGGGGATATGGACAATCAGAAACTTCATACTGAGACTGGAATAAGAACAAAGGAAAGTACAGAAGAAGARAATGCATAAATGACTTAGAGGCCTTGATTTTCCTTTGTTAGTCTTGTGGTTGTCGACAGCAAGTGGTGGTGTCAACAAATGGGGAAGAGGCCAGAGGAAATGGGAGAGTCAGGGTCACTGGGATTCGTAATGTGGTTTACGAATAATGTGGTTTACGACAGTTCTTGATAGAAGCTTAAAGTAACTCATAGAATTCATCAAGCAAAGTGATGTGAGATGAAGGATTCTCTACTTTGGTGGATGTAAACTTGACAGATTTCTGTGACAGATTCATTTCTGATATGGTCTCTTGTGTGTGTGATTTTGTTTTGCTTATCAGATCTTTGCCTTAAATGGAGAGTCTTGCCTTCCTCTATGAATTATCAGGAAAAAGAATTTCATGACATGTGGATTTGTGCTAATAATCCTAACCTCTTGGAAAACAGGTAGTTTTTAATAGTTTTTTTTTTWAATTCTTTGTCCCTGTTTATTTCCTGAAGTCCATATTATGAAACTGGAAAATGTCAGTGATAGATTTTAGCTTAATAGCTGGTCTCTAGTTGAACTCTTTCTAGCCCCTTGCTACTTGTGAAAAGATTATTTTGTTAGTGTGCTTTTCTACTGGATGAAAGCAATCTGGATGTAGCAATCTGCACATGTCAGGCGTGCAGTTCTGCACTTCCACAGGCAAAGACTACAGGCTCCTGAGTTCTGCCTTCCAGTTCATTTCCCACACAGCATACAACCTGATCGTACAGGAGTCTGACCCAGGGTGTGTATCCAGGGGCATTAAACTGATAGACCATGTGCCTTTCCTATTTAAGTCGTATATTGATTTCATTGCTTCATGCTCTTAGAGAAAGAAGTTTAGACTAAAACARGAAAGAGACTGATTAAATATTGATGAATGTCAATGTTATTACAAGCCCTTTTAGATTAATATTCTTTCCCTAGGGGAGAAAAGAACTAGTACTCCCCTTTAACAAAGGCAYCCCTAACTCAAACATTGCTTCCACACAATCTAAGTCCACATAAGCAGATCAATATTGCTAATATAGACATTAGGGTAATAATTCCTGTGTGGTTATTTTTATCCAGCTCTGAAAAAAAGAGCAAATATTTTTWAAAAATAGTACGTATCTAGAAACCRCTGTTAAGCCCTTTCTRCCTAGAGTCTCCAGGTTCGTCATGTTTATAGAATGAAGGAAAATGTCAGGGGGTACAAGGGCTTTTATATTTCACATGACCTGGAAGTTTTTCACTCTCCCTTTCTTGTTTTGAAACATGACCTGTGTTTCCCCAAGTAAAATTTATCACAGAACTGAAATACATACAACAGATAGATGCAGAACTAGTTGAATGGGAGGCTGGAAACTGAGGACCAGAGGTAGCCACTTCCCATTTCTGTCCCCTACTCTCTACAGAAGGCTGAGTGCTCCGGGGAACACGACTCTGAGACACACATCTAGTTTCACTTCTTCATTGAGAAACTTCAGAATCAAAGCCGAGACCTGTGCCTAAGACAGCTGTTCATGTGCCCTGACCAGGATCCTTTGACTATTATTCTACTCTGAGTGTGCATCCCCCTAAGGAAGGTGACCAGGATCACCATCAACTTGACCATCAACTTGAGTCCATCCCTAACTTGACACTTAAATGTCTCCTAAATAACAACACAGCATTGGCTCAGTTTCAATATTTAGAATAATTAATGATATTAATCACTTACCATGAGCTAAGAACTTTTCACAGAGCCTACGATTATATTTAGAGTCCAAACTCTGGGGCCAGACTGCTCAGGGTTCGACTCCCAGCTCCACCGGCTCATGAAACCTGATCAAATAAGATAACGAACCTCTCTTTATCTTGGCTTCCTCTTTCTTAGAATGGGGTATAATAAATAATCTCAGTGCATTTTCTCCAAGTCCTGTGATTCACTTATCAGGACAATCTAATGAGCAGGGGAGTCGGAGAGGGGCTTGATAACAGASGGCCAGGATTGAGGCTGCTCCCACAGATTTAACCCCGTAGCTGTGACTTTGACCAATCTGGGGTGTTGTCAACCTCACCGAACAGTCCTTTACAGCTTCCTTTATTTACAGTTTACCATGTCCCTGAATTGGCTCATTCTCATCCTCTTCTTTGAAATATAGAAATACCACTGCAGAACTTTGTAGAATAAGTTTCAAAGCTACATTAATTGTCTCTTACACATCAGAATAACACCACTTGTGAAGAGAGAGGCAAGAAAAATTTAGTTGTGTTGACAGAAAACTAACAGACTTTAAAATATATAAAATGCAAAAGTGTTTATAATTTTTAAAGTTCTTGTTTCTTTAAATACACCAACATAATATTGACCATCTGTATTTCATTTCCACCGAAGATTGTGATAAAAATATTCATAAAGTGGCACAAGAGAGTTAGGGGAGATGGTAAAGAAAAACTGATTTGATTCTATTGTATTCATTCAAAGATTTGGGGATATAATGAAATTTTAGTATACAATACAACCCATACATATTTTTAAACATCTTTTTCAAAATTACTTTTGAAGTTAATTAAGAGCACTTAAATGTCTCCTGGGGAGAAAAGAATTTGTCTGGTGCCCTCAGTCAGTCCTCTATTTCAATATGGTAGACTGGGCCTTACTTCTGCTAAGGTATGCCTTGAAATATTCCCTGAGTCATATGTACCATTAGATTTGAATAGGTCATGTAAAATAAGTGCATTAAATTGATGAGGAGTGAAGTAAAGCTGTTTATTAGACAACATTGTGTGAGTACAGGAACAGAGTAATGAGGTGAAAAGTGGCATTGTCTGTATTTACAGAAAATATAGCTTGTTGTCAGTAGTTAATTGCCACTCGTCACAGGCTCGGTGGCAATAAAGAGCATTTGAATAAACAACGTCCATGTTGTTGGAACAAAACTTGGATCAGAAACAGAATAAGTTCTTTTATAAGTTCTATGAACTTTCCCCGTTTCTCAGAGAAGAAAACAGGTGTGCTGAGAAAGGTTCAGTGCCTGGCCCAGGATTCCTCTTTAGCGCTAGACTGGAAGCCAACGTTCCGATGCAGAATCTATATGTACTCTTTCTGCCTTACCAGTCTCTCTCAGAAAGCATCCTTTTACATTTCAGGATGCCCAGTTCCATTTAAATACTTTCTAGTGACCAAAATAAACCATTTTTACAAGTGGTAGTATTCAGGGTCAATAACCTGGACAGGGTAAAACGGAGACATTCTTTTTCAAACCACCAAAGCCTCATTTTGTTTTCTACTTTGAGCACAGAGCAAGGCTGGGTATTGTTATCACAGTGCCTGAGAAATAGGTATCAGTACACTTTCATTACGTTCATGCTATGCATTTATTTGCGTCGAAAATAGGAATCATTTTACCAGCAGGGTAAAAATGATGCCTTTTACTTGGCTGAAACAAAAAAAAAGTCTCAATTTTGAAAAGGATGTTAAAAAACATCTGTGGGTTGTATTGCATATCCAAATTGTATTATTTTCAAAAATAAATTTTAAATGAAGACAATTGAATGGGCTTAATTTTAATAAAATACTTGAGTTTTTCTTTTATGAATTAAAACTTGCTGTTGCTGCAAGTTTCTTTTCTCAAATGAAATAGAAGCTTATGTAAGTACCACCCCACAGATGTCTTCAAATCCACACTATGGGTGGCCGTATATATAGTAGTTGTCCCTAGAATTTGTTTACCTAGCACCTTTCTTTGAAAGTAACAATAATAGCAAACACCATATGTGGGTGAACTAAGTGTTTTTGTTTTTGTTTTTTCACAGTAGTACGTGAATTTGATTGTCGTTTCTCACTCTTCTCAGTTGGTAGAGGGCAAGAAAAATATATGCTGTAGCCCCGAAAAACAGAGAAATGGCAGTTTTCATTTGCTGAAAGGCCTTCTTCCTGTTCTCACCACCTTCTTCCTCTCCTAGCCCAACAACATACATGCATTTTTCTACGAACTTTGACCTTTCCTCCTCTTTTTGGTAACCAAGTGAACCTCCCACCACCTCTCACCTATCAATAATAGAAAACTCCTAGAACTGGACCAAGACCTGACCTCAGCATTTCACCCTCCTCCTGCTCATCCCCTGCTATGCCCTGAGTCAGCCCTGTGTCCAGTGGGAAATGAACTTGCTGTCCATGTCAAACCTTGGTACCAAGGTTAACAAAATAAAGCCTCTTGAACAGTTTGGCTAACTCAGTTTCCCAGAATATAGTCACAAAAGCAAAGGTAAGGAGGAAAAATGGCCTCAAACCTCCCAAACATATGTCTCTAAAGTCTCTCTCTCTCTCTCTCTCTCTCTCTCTCTCTCTCGTAACCACAATGAGGAAAGTACTTACACACAGAATGCTACCTGAGTCTAGTACAGAGGCTGGGAGGTAGGGTGACTACCAAGTGCAGACACTGACAGCAGCAGAGTGTTAGGGAAGCATGCTGTAGTCAGGCCATCGGAACCATTTGGTGACAGGTCTGAAGTCTCAGTACACCYCCACACCCCGCCCTGCCCAGACTAACACCTCATACTGCGTCACAGGTCTTCTCAGTGATCCTGAGTCACCAAAGAAAGGATTCATGTGTTTCATAGGCAGAATTAATTGATATATTTTAGAGAGAGATATGTATTTCTACCCTCGATTTTTTGCGGGGGTGGAGGAAGTGTTTGGCAGTAATGAGATAAAGCTCAATGATCCAAAAAACATTTTTGTAAAAGCCCTCATTTCATAATAATGTGGGATAAGTGAAGCATTAGCAAAATAAYGAATAGTCTTCCATCTTCCTAAATATATGCTACCCTCCTCCTTTTCCATTTAGCTTTTTTTCCATGTGAATTGGAAATATAAGGTCCTATGTTACCTAAAGTCATCAATATAGTGATCTTTGTTTGCATTTGATCTTTGAAGACATGACAGAAAATATAATTCCTTGCTGAAGTAAACCATCTTTCACAGACAATAGATAGCTTTSCATTTCCTCCTGATGTTAATGTTTTACTTGTTGATTCTGAAGTTGTCGGCAGGTAGAACGTCTGCCTTGCATCCCCCTGGGCACCATGAGCACAGTATTACCATCAAAAAATGAGAAAGAGAAGCAACTTAGAGAGTCGGTCCTAAGGTATCAAAATAAACTGGCAGAACAGCAGTCACAGGTGAGCTGTAATTAACTCTTTACAAATTCAAGTGTGACTCTTGAGCWGTTGGTTTCATATGTGCAAATTGACTAATGTGGTTTATTCAAGAAAAATGTGTAGGCTCTTTTTTTCTTCCTTTTGTTATTTTCTTTTAATTTTTGATGTAAGAACTATTCCAGAAAGTGAGTCCAAAGAAAGGTAGAGAGTTCTATTAAAAAAAAAAAAGAAAAAAAAAAACTTTGCACATGTGATACCTAAGCTTCTCTATGCAACAACAATGCCTGTGAGGAGCAGGAACATTTATTTTTTACTTTGTAGCTGCAGGTGAAGTTTCATAGAGTTCAGCCAGCATGTCCAGGGTTACCTGGTCAAGATGGGAACATGAATCTGTATGATTCCAAAGGTTAGGCTATTTCTGTTTCATTAAGATTCTTTCCTGAGGGTGGACATTTTTAGGTAAAGAGCTCTTTTAAACAATATTAGCCTATTAACACAGAAAGTCAAAGTCATATTTATTTGTTAAGAAATCTCAATAAATTAAACATTAGTATTAATAAACATGGGTAAGTGTAATAGTTTCTGGTGACATGTAGAAAAATTGTTTTGTTTTCTTAATAAAGTAATTATGTCTCTGTTTATTTTATAGAGTTAGCATCCAAATTCAGTGTTTTCAACTTTATTATGTATAGCCTGCCAGCCTTTTCAAATAGCACTTGAGCTGGTCAGCAGCATATGTCCAAATGTGTTGACTCCTCTGTAGAAGTCAAGAAATAAAAGGGTCATTAGAATAGAAAATTCTGTGATGGAGCTGGAGTCAAGGCCCCCAGTCTTTCTGGACTCTTCCAAGGTAGAGAGTTCTACCTTCATATCTCTTACACCTGGTGAGAGACCTGAGGTGCAGGTCAGACACAGCCTGAGACTACAGACACACCTGACCCTCCTTTAGCAGGGATCTTGGTCTGTCTTGGAAAGATCCTGAGAACCTCTTTGGAAACATTTTCTGAGCACTCCCACATCCAGACAATAGCTAAACTTTCTATACGAAGTGGACATTGGTTTGGTAACAGAAGTCAGAGGTGAAGTTATTACAGCCTGAGATTATTGTAATAAATAAGCAAGTAGCTCAATTCAGATCWTACCATTCTGGAACATCTTACTTATGTGTAGTTTCTTGTGTGGCTTAGCACTCCTTGCAGCTTTGTAAAGGCATGCAGCATATCCAGAATTGATTTTACCTTTTGGCTGTCTCTGGATTTTGTTTTTTCCTTTCCTCAAGAGGTCAGAGCGGACCCTTGGATATTAATAGTGTCAATCATGAAGTCTTAATTAGCTTGTTTGTTAAGGTTTGAATGTTTTATTCATCATTGAGGTAGAACTTTTGATGGCAGCTGATGGAATAACAGATTTGGGTCTTCAGTTCCACTTAATCTTTCTTGATAGTTGATTTTTCAGTAAAAATGTAAGCCAGGGTTATAGATTCAGTTTGTTTCAAATGTAACAAAGAAGTTGAACAGTACTTATGTAGAAATCTACTGGCATTAGTTTAGAGGACATAAGAATCCTCACTAGCCTTCCTTTTCCTTTTGTGAATAAAAAATTTCACAAGATCCATTTGTGAAAATAGCCCTAAAATCTTTAAATACTTTCTCATAATCATTGCCCATAAGTAACCTACCCATAGGCAATCAACTGATTTTGAGGTGGTCACTGAATACAAACTTGTCCTTGAGTCTGTTCCAGGCAAGGCATTGTGGGGAATTCAGAGTAACCCTAATATCAGATTGTACCTTGAGGACAGGGATAGTCTCAGCTACACTTGCTGAGACTCTGTGTTACCTAAAACAATGCCTGGCACATAGGTAAAACACACATCCGGACAATATACCCACCTCAAAGAAGTTTAAAAATTAGCAATCGCTAATAAGGCAATCTTCGTTCCATACTTGTCTGGTCATACCCGACACTGTAATAGAAATTTGTTATAAGATAGTAAGGGTGCTGTCAAAGAAAGTTCCATAGAGGAGATGGACAGGAACCTATGYCTCGAGTCTATTTAGGGTAAATAGAGGGAAACAGACTGAGCTTTCCAGTTGACAACAACATAAAGAAAATCTTGGAAATGAGCACTGATTTTTTTCCTTCATGGAACCAACCTTTCAAATTACCTGCCGAGCTTAAGTGTTTTAAAAATAAACCCAGTACTTATGTGGTGGATCAATCTTTTTAAAACAATGCAATTCTTTATTAAATATGGCCATTGCTGAATAGGAGATTCTGAAAGGTCACCTTAGTTCCCCTTCACAAAAATAATCTATCAAACTGTTCAAAAACTCTATTTTGATGCTATCCGCCAGATGCTAGCAAGAGGACTCACAATTATCTGATGCCGTGTGTGGATTTACCATGTTTCTGACTGTCATTCAGGAGAAGTGTTCTTAGGATGTGAGATAAGAACAGGTGGGGACGCCAGAAAAGTAGAGCTCTGGTTCCGTTCAGGTGCAGTGTAGACAGGTTCAAGTATGGACGAGATGCCTCTGGAAGATCAATCTAGCTTATCACTCACTGTGATCCACTGTGTTTATTGCCCATTCTCTCAAATCAGGAGACCATAAGTTTATGCCATGTATGTTTTGCCCACCTCCACTTCTCTCTTCCTGCCTCCCACTACCAGTGACCGCTGGGGAGCAAGCAACAGAAATGACTTAAACCTGCTCACTTTATTGCATACCCTCTTACATTTCAGCTCTGATGGCAGCTGGCATCCTGATTTGGAAAATAAAGGTGGAGTTTGGTAAATCCAAGGTCTTTCTGGGTCTCAGSCCTTGTGGTTCTAGGTGTTGTGTCACCAATACTCGAGAGAGTAGAGTGATGAGAGGAATGGTACTATTGTAATGGGAGTCCCAGCTTGCACACACCTTACCCAGGTGTAGGGACAAAGTCTGACTTCCAGCAGTACCCCCTAAACGCAAATTTAGGATTTGTTTCCCCTTTTTTTTTGCCTCATTCCAGCCCAATTTGTTCCTAGTCTCACAGGATAAATTCAGACAAAAGGACATAAGAACGTTTACAAAGCAACAAACTAATTTATTGCAAATTGTATTTGTCAAAGGAAATAGCCAAGTTCAGTAAACCCAACAGGAGAGAGCAAACTCAAGAGCTATCACCTGTGGTGCATTTCATAGAGTAAAGGGCTGCCCTCRTGCAATTGATAAGCTGTGTCGACAAGTCAAGACCCTCATTATGGGTTGTGCTGCTGAACGACACATTCCAATCTTTCTTTTTCTGAATAGATGACGGAGTAATCTGTGCCTGACTCCACTCGGCTACATTCCTCATTACAAGCCGTTTCTATACTGAGTGACAAGTGCCACCTGCTGGCCAAATAAAGCCTTTCCCTTTTCACTGCGTCACTTGATTGCCTGGCTGCTAATTGGTAAATTAACTGGATAATTGTTATTCTGTTTTTCAGTGTATCCAGACAATAGCTTAAAAACCTTACAGTGAGTTATAAAACCAACACCTGTGCATTTGAGGACTTTCTCAGTTTTGAGTCACAATTAGATTTCTCTTCTGCCTTCCATTGTATGACGAGGATGACTGTGCACACAGATTGTAGTTTTAGTCACATTTCATTCAGGATTTTTTTGGTACTACTTAAAATGCATTTGATACTCCTCATCCCAATGAAAAGACAGATCATAACTTCATTTCCTGAATTAAATTACACTATATTGACCCCCATTGAATCTAGGTARTGTTACTAAGTATATATTTGTATAATCAGTCAGTTTGTGCAGAGAATACCTTATTGCTTAGGTATCCTCTAGGCCTTTCTGAGTTAATAGTTCCTAATTAATATTAAGTTGTTATTCCAGTGTTCAGTCTCTAATCTGACACTCCTTGCCTTTCTAGCTTCACTTTCTTCCACTCTGCATGGTGCTTTTCTGAGCTGCTTTGTGTCCACACACCCCCACACCCCCACCCCACTCCCACCCCGTGATCTCCACTTCTACTCTGAGTGCCTTTGTCCCCACCATTCTTGTCTGTCCTGGCTTCTGGTCCTCCCCAGTCCCTCAAGATCCAAAACCAAAACGCCAAACCCTTACGAAATCTTCTATTTTCCTGTCTGAAAAAACATTTCCTTCCTTTCAATTCTCTTCGTCCTGTGTATGCCCTTCTTAGAGCATGTTTTTACCTTCCACCTGGTATATTATGGCTACTTATGTATCCAGTCCATCTCCTACTTTAGACTATAATGGGCCTTTCTTTGAAAATAAAGAATGATTTGGTGGGGGGTGGTGTACTGGGGATTGAACTCAGGGACACTGGGTCAGTGAGCCCTATTTTGTATTTTACTTAGAGACAGGGTCTCACTGAGTTGCTTAGTGCCTCGATTTTGCTGAGGCTGGCTTTGAACTGAGATCCTCCTGCCTCAGCCTCCAGAGCCACTGGGATTATGGATGTGTGCTACTGTGCCTGACAAGAATGATTTTTTATTCATCTGGGTATTCTCATCAGAACATAGGCCAGGATTTTTCATGCAATACGATTGACCAAACAATGAATGAAGGGTGGAAGGAACAATTTGGTTCATAAAAAATTTGCTTCACAAGACAAACAATTTTTACTTGATCAGATTGGCTGACTATAGGTTGAAACTTACTGACTTTTGCATATATTATTGGAAACCAAAATGTTCTTACATTTGTTCACAATAAAAGAGTTATGTTTGGGATTACAGATGCTGAATTTGGATTTCATTTGTTATGTTCCCAGCCTTCCCATCAAATGAATATTCCTCATAAAATYCCATGCCTATGGAAAAGGAACTTCAGCAATAGCATCTGATTCTTTTACAGTGCTTATATGGACTCACAAAAAGAAAAATGAAATGGTATAATCTAGCAATTCCCATGTTGGTTRTTTTAGCAGTAAAATGTAGAGCAAAGGCGGCTTGCTGAACTTTTAGCTGTGTGTTTCAAATTGAAATTGCATATTGAGTACAACTTTGTAATGAA